GGGGAGGGGGGGTGAAGGGGTCTGGGCGCTCCAGCGGGAGAGGAGTGGAGGTGCCACCTCCATCCAGTGCCAGCTGGTTGGCTGAGACAGAAGAGGGCAGACAACTGGAGGCAGGAGAAGCGTGTGGAAAATAGCACTTGAAGAGTTTCAGAAACACCCCTAAGTTCATTTTTAATAGGGTGTGGAAATAATCTATGATCATAACCGTACTTTTAACAAAGGCTTTTTTGCTGGGTGAATTGTCTTTCTCCCCATTCTCTTCCCCCCCTTAAATAAATATTTGTTTCAATTCTTTAAACACAGTCAAAGAAGCAGATCGCTTTACTGGAAAACTGTTTAGCTTAGTAGTCAAGGCTCTCTCCCAGGGAACTTTTCAACTTGCTGGTCCAGGCTGCAGTTATCCAGCATTGGAGGTTAGAAGTTCAAGGTTTGTTAATTTTGAGGAATGATGTCTCTCCCTGTGTTTAACCACGAGGGTCAAAAACACACAGGAAAAAAGGGAGGGTCCCCAGAGCAGTGACTCGTGCTCTCTAGGCGCATCCTTCCCAAGGAACCCGACCACAGGAGACAGCTTCTCCAGCAGGTACCTGGCTGTTTGGGTGTAGGCACCACACCCCAAGCCTTAGACCCAAGCTGTCCAACATCACCTCCTCTCAGTTCTGCCTCCAGTGGCTCTCTCTGGCTTTGAAAACCAAGTGGGAGTGGAAGAAAGAGAAAGGCTTTGGCTCTGCAGATGTTTCAGAAAGTGAACTACGGTTGGTCCCTGTAGAGGAAGCTCTTCCTATCCCTTGTGGCTTTGCTCCTGCTGAGAGCTCCTGCAGGAGAGCAGCAAGCAGCAGCTTCCCGAGGAGGAGACAGGCCCTTCTCGAGCCAGCACCTGGTTTTGATGAGAGCAGCGTGGTGGTGACAGGAAGGGAAGGTGACAGCTGCAGGCCTCAGAGAGAGACTCTCTATCAAAGCAGTCCTCAGCCTAGCCAAAATATTCAGGTGCACAGATATAAGGCATTTCCCACCGAAACGCAACACAGTACGATCTACCTGGCCAAAAGGCCTGATTTTTTTTAGTGGCTCAGTCTCACTCTAATGTCTTTCAGTCTTCCTGGGACCGTCATGGGTGTCTGCAAAGGAGGAAGCCAATGATAGCCTCATGCAGATTAAAAAAATAATGATAATATTTCCAACACAAGTTTGATGAGAAGTCAATGTTGGATGCACTTCCACAGGGGCAGATCTTGAAGAAAGTAGTAAA